ACCCCAGGTTGGGGCTACCCCAGCGCATCCTTACATAACAGGGCAAGGTGAACTAATGGGAGTGGGTGGAGGAGTTGGAAGAAATCCTAGCGTCAGTCATCTGGGTAGAATTCCCAAGGAACCCTCTTTTGGAGGATGTTTTCCATTTCTGGAGGCGATCGGCTGGCAGGGTGAATGCCTTCTTGCCTGTCTTCTGGGAAATCAGGGAGAGAGAGAATGAGAATGAGAATCTCATTGTGGTGGAAAAAGTGCGGCTGTGTACTTTGAACTCCTGTAAATTCTCTGCCTTATGTCCACTAACCAACATCCGAGTTTTGTGAATGTGTGTGGAGGCAAGGGAAGGGCCACCCAGGATCTACTGTTGAAGGAACAGGCCTGGGGCTGGAGTATTCTCTTCCTGAAGGGCAGTGTGAGGTGGTGGGGGGGTATCGGCTGTAGAGGAGCTCAGCCCAGTTTGACAGGATGTGGGACTGAGAGAAAAAGCTGCGTTTGGGGCAGATCAGGTTACCGGCGCTTTCTCCACTGCTCCCTGCCTGGTTGGTGCTGGGGCCGGCCCTCATTTGTCTCTTCTTTTGGGGCTCCTCCCAGCCCAGACTCTAGCCCCCTCCCCCTTCCCAACAGCCTTGACTTCATCTCAGCTCCAGAGCCCGCCCTCTCTTCCTGCAGCCTGGGAACTTCAGCCGGCTGCGGGTCAGCTCCCCTCCCCAGGGAAGGAGGAAGTGAGGGAAACTTCGAAGGTGTGATGAACTGTGCAGATGCTCGTCCGTGTGTGCTAGGGGCGTGGGACACATGGAAGCCCGGGGAGCTGACTCCTTGCCCTGAGTCACAGGGAGGGGTGGGCAGGGCCCGCGGGTGAGCTGGACTGAAGGAGGAATGGGCTGTTCCAGAGTGGGTGGAGGTGATTCCTGGTGGATGCTTCTCAGTTGCTGTGCTGTGGTGGATGCGTGGCTCCCTACAGTGTGATCATTGTCCCCTGCCGGGGGCTGAGTGACCCAGTGTTGCTGGCAGGCCCAGGAGGAAGGGGGGAGGAAGGCAGGCTGCCCAAACTTGAGCTGTGGGCACTGCCGGGACTGAGCCTCCTTTGTATGACTTGGGGCTCTGGGGACCGGGCGGGGTGGGCCAGGGAAGCCGGCTAGCTGTCCTCTGTCTGGGTTTCCCTGCTTCTGCTCTCCTGCTCACCGCTGAGGTGACATTTTGAAGAGGCACGGTTTTGAGTCACACTGTCCTGCTTTGAGTCACACAGTCCTGCTTTGGGTACTGTCCCTGCCGCTTATAAGCCACGGCTCTGAATCTGTGTCTTAACCTCACTGAGCCTTAGTTTCCTAGTTTGTCAAAATGGAAAGTGCACCACCTACCTTCCAGGTGTCTAGGGACCAAAGGAGATGATTTCTGCCAAAATGCCCGACAGGGTGCCTGGCACCTAGGGGGTCTATAACTATTCTTCCCTTATCTGCTCACCACCTGGTAGCTGGTTCTGCTACTCTGTGGTCTTAGAGAGGGACTCCTCATTTGTGACCGGGCAGGTATGACTTGTGCTGAGGGACAGTCTGTTCTAGACTGGACCTTAGAGATTATTAAACGGTAGATGCATCAAAATCCTGGTAACAAATGAAGTCTGACTCGAAACCCTGATGTGTGAAGTAGATAGAAGATCGCTTCCTGGGTGTCCCGCATCCCTGAGCGGCTCTCTGGGTACCTGGAGTCCCCAGGTTGGCGAGTGGATTAGATTGAAACATGTTTTCCAGCCCCCGAGTGGGGTCGTCCTCCACCTCCCACCGCTGTTTCCTAACCCATCGAGGGAGACCTGTCCCTGACCCAGAGTTTAGGAATTTTAAGCTCTGTTGCCCCCACAATTGGTTCTTGGCGAGAACATGCCTGAGCAAGCCCTCCGCCCCTTTGCTAGGTGCCTCAGTTTCCAGAGAGGTTTGGGGGGCCCTGGAGAAGTGTTTTTGGACTTAATGGCTTTTCCTCAAATCCCCAATGCCTCTCGTCTGGCAGCCCTACCATGGCTGCGATCCGAAAGAAGCTGGTGATCGTTGGGGATGGTGCCTGTGGGAAGACCTGCCTCCTCATCGTCTTCAGCAAGGACCAGTTTCCAGAGGTCTACGTGCCTACTGTCTTTGAGAACTATATTGCGGACATTGAAGTGGACGGCAAACAGGTGAAGGCAGAGAGCCCCTCCCGCCCCCGTCCCCAGTCACTTAGGACCTAGTACGTCCTTCCCCACTCCTACCCATGTCCTTGCTTCCTTCTCCCTGCTGGGACCAGTAAACGTTAGGGAGTGAATCTGCAGTCTTAAAAAAACAGGATATACTTTCGGGTTCTCCCACAGACTGACTGGCTCTGTAACCTGGGCTGAATCCCTTTGCCTCTGAGTTTAAGCTCCCCCACCTGCAAAATGGGGATGATGGTAAGACCTCCCTCAAAGGGTTGTTGTGAGAATTAACCAAAATAATGATCCTCACAATGGCAACTCAAGGGTCAAACACGTATCTTAGATTTCTTTAACAAACTGACCTCATTTGTGTTTTGGGACAGGGATGAACACAATGCCTGGCACATAGCAAGTGCTCAATAAAGATGTTCAGTGAGCCTGAAGGACAGTAGTTTCAGAGGACCTTTGGGTGGCAGGGTTGGGGCCTTCAGGCCAGCTACTCACTGGCCCTGTGTGTCAGGTGGAGCTGGCTCTGTGGGACACAGCAGGACAGGAAGACTACGATCGACTGCGGCCTCTCTCCTACCCCGACACTGATGTCATCCTCATGTGCTTCTCCATTGACAGCCCCGACAGCCTGGGTGAGGGGATTGCGGGAGGGGACTTAGAACCCTTAGAATCAGCCAGAGGTCTCATGCCTTGGCCTGTCTTCAGTTAACTTCAGAGGTGGGGGCGGGGATGCAGGGGAACACTCAGGCCCCATTGGTCTCCTTTACTGTGATATCTGGCCTTCCAAGGGCATAGCGTTGCTGAGGTTTTGAGCTGTGAAAGGGACCTCATGCTGAATGGCTTCTAAGACTCTGCTATGGGAAGATCAGCCCCCCACCCCCACCCAGGGGAGCTTTCTAGCTTAAGTGAAGGCACCGACACCTGTTGGGGCATGTCTGCACAGAAAACATTCCAGAGAAGTGGACCCCAGAGGTGAAGCACTTCTGCCCCAACGTGCCCATCATCCTAGTGGGGAATAAGAAGGACCTGAGGCAAGATGAGCACACCAGGAGAGAGCTGGCCAAGATGAAGCAGGTGGGTGCGGCTGCCGGGCGGGAGCCCTTGGGGTGGAAGGCATCTTCTGAGGGGTTGCAGACGGGCAAAGGGAGCTTCTCTCCAGCTACTGCTGTGTTAGGGGAGATGGTGATCTCTCCTGGTGAGGGAGGACTCCTACGGTTGTGTCATCAGTATCTGATGATGTATCAGAGTGAAGTGACTTGTCCAAAGTCACTTGGCATTTTTATTTATTCCAGCTAATGGTCCATTCTATTTAGAATTGGGACTATTAAGATGATTAAGAAAATCGGCCCTCGGGGAGACAGCTTATGTTTCACTTGGAGTACCCAGGCTGTGCCATCATAGTGCCCCTGATGTGGGAGAGAGGGTGGGCATTGTATAAGTGGCTGGAAGAAGGGGTGAGAGAGCTGGCTTATTCAGGGACCTGTAAGTGGCTTAGCCAGAGGACTAGAGTTTATTAGAGAAAGCTGTCAGGATAAGAACTGCAGATAATTATGGCAAAGTTTCAAACTGGGGAGATGTTAGGTCTGACTGGAGGAGAGTAAGGATGGAGGCAGAGCCGTCAGTCAGGAGGTGGGAGGTGCTCATTCAGGCAGGAGACCTGGGGACTGTGGCGGGGCTGGATGGGAGCGGAGGGAATAGACGAGATTTTAAATCCCTGGTCCAGAAGCTGCCCAGGGTAGCTGGGGCCTGGGCGCTTTTTGGGTCAGGGCTGGAGGAGGCGGCATTTGTTCCAGCCGCTACACTTATGGGTGAGGTGGGAGAGGTTCTTCTAGCCATCAGCTTCCTTTGACTCCTCATCATCTGTCTTCTCAGGAGCCTGTTCGGTCTGAGGAAGGCCGAGACATGGCGAACCGGATCAGTGCCTTTGGCTACCTTGAGTGCTCAGCCAAGACCAAGGAGGGAGTGCGGGAGGTGTTTGAGATGGCCACTCGGGCTGGCCTCCAGGTCCGCAAGAACAAGCGCCGGAGGGGCTGTCCCATCCTCTGAGATCCCCAAGGCCTCTCCTACATGCCCCCTCCCTTCACAGGGGTACAGAAATTACCACCCTACAACCCCAGCCTCCTGATGGCTCCATGCCGACGGCTCCCTTCTCAGTTCCCTCCTGCCCAGGACTGCATTGAAGTTTCCCAGCCCCAAGGTGGTGGCGCGGGCCCTCCCTCCCAGTGCTCTGGGAGTCAGGCGTTGCCCTTCCTCAGGGCCCCTGGGGCGCGTGTCCCCTTTAATCTTCCCCAAAGGATGGTCATACACCAGCACTTTATACACTTCCGGCTCACAGGAAAGTGTCTGCGGTAGGGGACCCAAGAGTCCCAGGCCCCTGGAGTTGTTTTCGGTAAGGGCCTCGTCTCTGACTGCATTTGGTCAGGGGGGCATGAATAAAGGCCACAGGCTCTAACATGTGTGGCAGCTTCCTGTCTTTCCCTCTGGGTGCATGGTGTCCCACCTCTTTTCATGTCCAAGTTGCTTGCCAGCCTGGCCCACTGTCTGCAAAGCAGACCAGTGGCCAGCAGGGTGGAGTCTTAGAGCAAAGGATGAGGTCATGCCTGGCTCTGGGCCGAGGAGGCGGGTGAGGGGAGTGGTCTGTAGCAGGGGCTAAACTTAGAAACCTGTGGGTGGCTTCCCTGCCACCTCCCACTGGGTTTCCTCCCCCTGGGTGTGGGGGCTGGGTTCCTCTCCAGCTGGGAGGGGGTGTGACCCTGTGCAGGGCTGACAGTCCCACCCTTCCCTACTGGGTCAGCCTGGGGGCTCAGGAAGCTGGAGCCAGGGAGAGGAGACAGTATCAAGGCTTTTGCATAGAACAAGATTTTGTTTTCAGAGTTTTCTTCCTCCCCCTTCCCCCAATTGTTAGCAGCTTGATGTGTCATTCTCCCCAGCAGGGGAGGGGGTGGAATGGCTTGGGTTGTAAACTCCCTCCCCCAGCCTTCCTGTCCCTTGGAGGGGCAGCTCAGCTGGGTTCTGGTTCAGAGACAGGGTTCTGGTTCAGGGTCAGGCAGGCAGTTAAGGCTTGGCTGGTGCGAGAAGGCTGGGTGCTAAGTCTTCAGAGCTCGTTCCTCCACTCTGGCTCCACTTGCAGGGACAGGCCCCCTTCACCCTCCCGCTCCTGGGGGAGGCAGTCGTGTCCGTGGGGCCCTGGAAAGAAAGAAAGTACACTTTGTCTTCCTTACCACCTCCTCGGGCACTGTCCCCAACCTGGTCCACCCTAGCCCAGCCTTACCTGAGGTAGAGGGGCTGAGCTTGCTCAGACCTTGCAGTAAATTCTGTCCCTGTTGCAGGTCCAGTTTGGCAGGGAAGGGACACCCGGTATACCCCCCGTTTTCTTTACAGAACTCCAGGAATCTGTGGGGTACAGAGGAGTGCCAGCAGAGACTGGAGGCTAAGCCTCAGTCCTGTCACATCTGAGCTGTACTTGCTCAACCTCTGGATGTTGTTTAACTTACATATACAATAGGGGTGCTGTGAAAATGGACACATCTGAGGATTAACTGAGCGATAAGCAAGTGCTTAAAAAAGATCCGCTGTAGGCATGGGGCCGTGGCCACCAAGAGGGAGAATGGGGTGGGAATGCTCACACTTTCCAGTCGGGGTCATGGCCCAGGAGAAGGGGGTTGCCCACCACGATGAGAAGGGCCTTGGCCCGGGTCACAGCAACATTGAACCTCTGGAAGGAAGAAGTGGTGTGGTCATGGGCGGGAAGAGCTCCGAGGAGGGAAGAATTCCTGCTAGCCCGACCAGCCCTCAAACCTTGGGGTTCTTCAGGAAACCCAGGTTGAAGTCTAGATCCAGCTGCACAAAGTTCTGGCTGCTTCGCACAGTAGAGATGAGGATGACACTTCGTTCTTGGCCTTGGAATTCTTCCACGGAACCCACCTGTGGGGGGAAGAGGCAGGGCCTGAGACCAGCCAGGAGTGTCAAAGGGGTGCCCTACCCCAGGGAGCCTGACTTCCAAGGAGGGTACAGAGAAGTCACTGGGCAATTGTAGATCAGTGTAGTAAACGAGTGAGTGCCAAAACACTGCCCAGGGAAGGGGGATAGAAAGGGAATGGGAGGTAGGCTGTGGGAGCTGAAACCTGAAGGGTGAATTCCACTCAAGGGGGGAGCCTGTCAAGTGTTCTATGGAAAGGAAACAGCATTGCAAAGAAGACCACAGGACTCAGAGCAGTGACTTTCAAACTTTCCTGAAAATAACCACTAAGTATCTGTTAAGAATATACAACCCTGGGCCCTAACCCAGAACCCCTGATCAGAATTTCCAAGAGAGAGGCCTCTAAGTTTTAAAGAGCTGCTTTTCAACCCTGGCTGCACATCAGAATCACTGAGAAGCTGTAAAAACTCCCAATGCCCTGGCTCTGCCCCATAGCTGTATGAGCTGGTGGGCGGGGCCCTGGCAGGGGCGGTGGTATTAAAAGCTCTCCAGGTGATTGTTATCTGCACCCAGTGTTGAGACCACAACCTTACAGGAAGAGGCTACTGGGGGAGGGGTCGGGGTGACAGCATCACATGACAGGCCACGGAGTTTGGACTTTATCCTTAGGGCAGAGGCCTGAGTCTAAGAATGACAGGAGGTGCTTGTTAAACATGCAGGCTTCCTGATCGCATTCCAGACCCTTAGGCTGGAATCTCCAGGAGTGAGAGGCTTGGGGAGAGCTCTAGCTCCACTCGAGGCAGCAGGGGTGGGATGGGGATGTGGGCTGGACTGGAGCGGAAGCTTGAGGAAGTCTCTGGAAGTGGGCGGGTCGGGGCACACAGAAGGCAGGGAGTGAGTGTAGAACAGCGTGTCACCTTCAAGTCCTTGATGTCATCCAGTCCTCGAAGCTCCCTGTCAAGTTTGGTGATGCAGTAACGGATTTTCTCCACCTGGAAGGAGGGGACAGGTGCTTTTCTCTCATGCCATTAACCTAATGCAAGAGGGAGCCTGGCAGGAGGCCAGGGAGCTGGGGAACAAAGGGAGGGCAGCTGACCTCGGTGCTCTTCTGAGGCAGGGAGCCAGCAGAGGCCCGAGCTCCAAAAGCCTCTGCCTAGTGGTCGCGATATTAAGGAAGTGTCCTCTGGGGGAGGGGTCCCACCCTTGCTGGTAACCAAGGACCTGACCTGTTTCCGGTATGGGGAGATGACGCCCACGCTTCGGGGGCTCAGGCGGGCTTTGCCCTTCTTGGAGGAGGGGGCCAGGAGCAGCTTCAGGTAAGAAGTCACTGTGGCAGCCTCTTCAGGGTTGAAGAAGGATGGGCTATTGCCCTCACGCTCATCTTTGCCCATTACGCCATGAAAGATGATGGGAAAGCCCTGGACATGGGGTCAGGGGAAACCCTCAGCCAGACCACCCTCTATACCCTCCCTTCCCCAACCCTTCCAGAAAATGAGAGATCCCAGGCCAAGGTGACAAAGGGAGGGGGCTGCACCTTCAGTGGGAGGGAAGTCAGGGTACGGGGTGGGGGCCTGTGCCCCTGCCCTGCTCAGACTCACCTGTCGAGGCAGGCCTGCCCAGCGGCAAAAGCGTTCTCGATCAACAACGTCAGCACAGGCCTGCAGCTCCCCTTCATAATAGAGCTGGTTAGGAATGTCCAGGATGGTGGGATGAGACCTGGGAGGCGGGACGGGGAAGGAAGAGCAAGACCAAGCGTCGGATTCCCTCTGCCCCACAGGGGCCCGGTTCTACCCACTCTGGGCCCACACATTAGCCTTCTGTCCCCCTGGCTTCCTGGATAGCCAGACACTCATCCATAATATCTGCTGCCAGGCACTGTAAACCACAGAAAGCAGAACCAAATATGGTCCCAAAGAGCATCTAGTCCAGGGACTTCACCCACCCATGAAATTTAAAACTAAAAAATTACAGGCCCATTTTTTCAGGTTTCAAATTTGCCAAGGACAGTATGAAACCAAATTCTTCTTGACTATCGCTGTCATTTGATGCGACAATCGTGATGACACAATAGCTAACGTTTATTAAACTCTTAGTGACAGCCTAAAACTCAACTAAGCATTTTCGACGGCTGAACTCATTCACTAAAGGTATACAGCTCTTTAATTTGAATACCAATAGGTTTATGAAAAAACTGTATCTTCCCTATTTTTTTTTTTTTTTTTTTTTTTTGAGATGGAGTCTCGCTCTGTCGCCCATGCTAGAGTACAGCGCCGTGATCTCGGCTCACTGTGACCTCCACCTCCTGGGTACAAGCAATTCTCCTACCTCAGCCTCCCGAGTAGCTGGAATTACAGGCCCCCACCATTACACCTGGCTAATTTTTGTATTTTTAGTAGAGATGGGGTTTCACCATGTTGGCCAGGCTGGTCTCAAACTGCTGACCTCGAGTGATCCGCCCACCTCAGCATCCCAAAGTGCTGGGATTACAGGCGTGAGCCACTGCGCCCAGCTTCCTCCCTATTTTCCTTATTTCTCCTTGGATTGCCTGAAAACTTCATCTGGGACTGGTACAAGACACATCCTAGCCTCTAGGAACCACTGACCACCCCCTTAGATGCAGATAAACCAACTGGTGCAGTCTGAAACCACTGGCTACGTCACGCAGACAACAAGCAGCAATGCCGGGGCTGGACAGGAGACCTCCTACCTTCCAGTTTAGTCTTTCTGCATCACACAGTCTCTGGGCAACAGGACTGCAAGCCACTCTCCAGCAGGGGCTGCACGCAGGGTGTGAAGCATGGGATATAGCAGGGGAGGCTAGGGCGTGGGAGTACCTGTAGTTGCGTAGCAGCTTGGTTATGAACTGGGGGTCATAGCCATCAGGGCCCTTCTTGTACAGGGAGTTATAGGTGAGCAGCCGCTCCAGCAGCGAGTACCCCAGCCCATGCTTCTGGGTCAGTGGGGAACGCAGCACAGGCCCCAGCTGCCGAGGGTCTCCTGCCAGCACCAGCTGCCCTCCTGGATTGCCTGTCTCCTTTACTTCCATCAGCCCTGGGAAGCGGAAGAGGTGTGGGGAAAAAGGTAAGCGGTGCAACCTCTCTGACCCCACACAGGGTGTACACTTGCAGCCCCACCTGAGTCCCTCACCTGCTATAGCTACCAGACTCTCAGGCTCCATGCAGTGGCCAGCCTCATCGATGAAGATGTGTGTGAAGTGATCAATGGGAAACTGGGCCGAGACCAACCTGGGAGGTGTCAGGCCAGGCAGGGGTCATATCCAGGCACCCAGCTACCAAACCTGAATGCTTTCCCAGGCTGGCTCCTCATCCCACCACCCCACAGAAACCATTCTTCCCCATCTCCCAGCCTGTTACCCCTTTAATTAAACTTACGATTCAGAGACATACCCACACACATTCCCCACCTGCCAGCCGTGATGAGGGTGGTAATTAAGACCCGGTATTCCTGCAGCTTCTTCTTGGCGGGAAATACATACTCCCCCTTCTTTGCGTCCCAGTTGCAGCAGGGCTGTGGATTGTGAAGGGACCATAGGAATCAGCTTGGCTCCACTCATTCCCACCCAGACTCCGGCTGTGGGCCCCCCAGATAATTGTTTTTATTTTTATTTTTTATTGAGGCGGAGTCTCGCTCTGTCACCCAGACTGGAGTGCTGTGGCGTGATCTTGGCTCACTGCACCTCCACTGCCTGGGTTCAAGCAATTCTCGTGCCTCAGCCTCCTGAGTAGCTGGAACTACAGGTATGTGTCACAACACCCAGCTAATTTTTTTGTATTTTTAGTAGAGACGGCCTCACCATGTTGGCCAGGCTGGTCTCAAACTCCTGATCTGCCTCAGCCCCCCAGAAGTGCTGGGGTTACAAGGGTGAGCCATGGCACCTGACCCCCCAAACGTTTTATCCACTTCCTCACTTACAAACTGAGGCCCAGGGAGGGTCCTGACCAACCCAAGGTCACACAGCAAGTATCAGAATCCAGATCTCCTAGCTTCCTCGCCCAGGTGTCTGCCCTGGGAGCCTCCCCAGCATTCGCCATTCTTTGGCCCTCTGCACTTCCCTAGTACCTTAATGTCCTCAGGTACCATGCGGATGTCCCTGCTGGGGGCCAGGAGGCGGTAGATGGAGCTGGGAAGGTGGACCCGGAGCCTTTGACAGAGGAGGTCAGCCCCTGAGTTGGATGGAGCGCAGGCCAGGATGTGGGCTTTGGGCAGGTGCTTCACCACCTGAGATACAGATACACGCAGTGAGGGAGGCAGGTTCCTGAGACTTGGCCATACTCAGGCTGGGGCGGTGCAAGTCTATGATGACTGAAATGTGAATGCTGACTCCAAGAGTCATGCAGTGCGCTACCTGTACAACAGCGCTCCACAGCGACGTTTACCCTAACTCCCTACTCCTCAATCCCCCCTGCCTTTTTTTGAGACAGAGTCTCACTATGTCACCCAGGGTGGAGTGCAGTGGCAGCACTGCAGCACACTGCAGCCTCAAACACCCAGCTAATTTTTTTATTGTTTCATAAAGACAGTCCAAGCTGGTCTTGAACTCCTTGGGCTAGGCCTCCCCAAGTGCTGAGATTATAGGCATGAGCACTGCACCCAGCCCCTACCTCCCTTTTTGATGGCTGCTCAGATGCAGGAGCATTGCTGGGGAGTGGGAATGAACCAGGCTTGGTGCTGGGGGAGTCAGAGTGCAGACCCCAGGTTTGTGCTCAGGCCCCACCTGCTTAATGGCCTCCACTAATGTGACAGTCTTGCCGGTGCCTGGAGGCCCAAAGATGATGTAGGGAGCTGGACGGGTGGTGCCCATGACAATGTGCCTCATGGCCTGCAACTGTTCTGGGTTTGACTCCAGACTCCGGTCGTACAGCCTGGCAGAGGGACCAGGAATGTGAACTTGAAGTCATCCAGTGACCCCGAGGCCTCCCCAACTCCTTCCCCTGTGCCCATGCTCCAAGAGGCTCCCTGCCCACAGTCTCACTTGAGTTTCACATCCGAGGGCAGCAGCGGGACGTCCCGAGATGCCACAGGAAAGAGCATGGGCCAAAGCAGCCAGCGCCCCGTCAGCTCCAGGGCACGGTGCTGGACTCGCAGGGGCTGGCGGTTGAAGGTAAAGTTCACCTTGAAAGTCAGCCCATCCACAAAGCGGCTCAGGAGGCTTTGGGCAGAGGTGGGGAAGAATTTGTTGTGAGGGTAGGTGGGCAATAAAGGGCCAGAACCTTCTCCACCAACCACCGTCCCAACCACGTTCCAAGACCTCAAGGCAAAGCTCTCTAGAAGAGGAAGCCACCGTGGCATCTCAGAATACCCCTGAGGAAAAGTTCCCTGCTCCGCCCCTGCGGTCTCATTTATCTTACGGAGAAACACTCCTCCTCCCCTGGGGTGAGAAGCCTGTAGACCCTTCTGGCAGCTCAGGGTTCCCCCAACACACCCACCTCATGGAAAAGCTCAGCTTGACACGGTCCAATTCCACCTTGTGCACAAAGCCCTTATAGGTGATGGGGTCCTCCTGGTGTGTTTCCGAAGACAAAATGGCAAACAGGTGGTCGCCCCGTAGCACTGAGGGGCGGCTCTCAGTCACCCCGGGAACCTATGGGGCATGAACACAAGCTTCTATCACAGGGAAGGACGCTGGAGGGCCCAGCCCCAGGTTCTCCAGACCTCTAAGGGACAAGGACTGAGACTGGCCTTCTAACCTAAGGCTCAGGGAACTGTGCTATCCCTGCACCTCTCTCTCCTTTCATGCCAGCCAGAGCAGGAGTCAGGGAAAGAGGAGAAGACAAATCTTCCGAAGCTGCACAGAGGTGTCAAGCCCAGGAACCCAGAGCCTCCGGTGCCGCTGCCCTCTTGGCCAGCTCAGTTCCTGTTCTGCCTGGAAAAATCCTGTTCCTCAGCTAATTGGGTTGCTAAAAAAATAAATAACAACAGCAAAAAACAAGCCAAGCATGGTGGCTCACGCCTGTAATCCCAACACTTTGGGAGGCTGAGGCAGGCGATCACTTGAGTCCAGGTGTTTGAGACCAGCCTGGCAAACATGGCAAAACCCCATCTCTACACAAAATACAAAACTTAGCTGGGTGTGGTGGGGCGTGCCTGTCTTCCCAGTAACTTGGGAGGCTGAGGTGGGAGGATCGCTTGAGCCCAGGAGGTTGGGATTAAAGTGAGCCAAGATCATGCCATTATGCTCCAGCCTGAGCACCAGAGTGAGATCCTGTCTCCAAAAAATTAAAAACTTAAAAACATAAAATAAAACCTTAGCCGGGCACAGTGGCTCCTGCCTGTAATCCCAGCACTTTGGGAGGCTGAGGCGGATGGACTACCTGAGGTCTGTAGTTTAAGACCTACCTGGCCAACATGGTGAAACCCTGTCTCTACTAAAAAAAAAAAGAAAAAAGAAAATTAGCCGGGTGTGGTGGTGGGTGCCTGTAATCCCAGCTACTCGGGAGGCTGAGGCAGGAGAATCGCTTGAACTTGGGAGGCCAAGGTTGCAGTGAGCTTAGAACACACCATTGCACTCCAGCCTGGGTGACAGGGCAAAACTTTGTCTCAAAAAAAAAAAAAAAAAAAAAAAATCTTGTTAAAAACTCCCACTTTCTGCAGTAATCTTTCCTTGATCAAACTCAGTCTCTCATTCCCACCTGCACTTGTGTGTGGAAATCCATTCTCATGTGTAATTTTGGGCTTATATACACACATTCAAAATCCAAGAGCTAGAAAGAGTTGTAAGAATTATCCAGTCCTGCTCTATGCTTTTCAGATAAGGGAACTAAGCCTCAGAGAAAGCAAGGGACTTACCCAAGGTGGTAGCGAAGCCTGGACTAGAACCCAGATCTTCCCCATGCCCCTGCTTGGACACATCTTTGGGCACAGGATGCCCACCCGGCTGCTTTCGGAGGCCTGGGAACCACTTCAACCTTCCTCCTGTTCTGCCCTGCTGTCAGGAATAGTTCTGCCCACAGCCTGTAGCTTGGCTGACTTGAGCCCACCCTCCTCACACTCCATCTGAGCCCCGACCTCCAGCGTGAGCAGCCTGGGGTTCTGGTCCACGGGGTCCCAGGTCATGGGCACCGACTCCAGGTCATAGTGCCGGATATCATGCTCCATCTGCAGCTCCTCCAGGTGCAGCAGCAGCCGCAGCTTCACCTCATAGTTCCTCCACTTCAGGGCTGTCTCCAGCTGAGCCCTGGAAATGATGGTTGGAGGGGTGGGGTGGGGGGCAGGAATGTGATGGGCCAGACAACCCCTATGCCCAGGAGTATGCACCTTCTCCCACCCGAAACTCTGGAACTAAGAAAGCAACAAGAAACAGAGAAGACTAGAGGGATAGAGAAGTGGGTGAGAGTCAGAGGCCCTGAAGAAGGGAGCCTTGGCTCCTGCTTCCTTGGATATCCCTGCCCCCACCTCACCCAACTCGAATTTGCATGGTGGCTCATGGCCAGAACATTCTCCCCCAGATCCTCTAATGACTTCCACCCTCACCTCATTCAAATGTCCTTCTCTGTTCGAACACGACCTCCTCAAACAGGCCAGGACTAACTGCCTTCTGCAAAGCAGCACCCATCCCCTAACCCTGCTTTAGTTTCAGCGTAGTTCCTTTTTAGAGACAAGATCTTGCTGTCACCCATGCCGGAGTGCAGTGGCATGATCTTGGCTCACTCACTGTGGCCTTGACCTCCTGGGCTCAATGAATCCTCCCATCTCAGCCTCGTAAGTAACCGGGACTACAGACGTGTGCCACCACACTTGGCTAATTAAATTTTTTTTGTAGAGACAACATCTCACTATGTTGCCCCAGGCTGGTCTTGAACTCCTGGGCTGTTTAGATCCACCTGACTTGGCCTCCCAAAGTGCTAATTACAGGCATGAGCCACTTGCACCTGACCTGTTCAGGTCTTCATAGAACTCATCACTCCATGAAATTCTAACAAAAATGCTCATTGTCCCCCGCATTAAAATCTGTTAGGCCTTCATTTGACTGGTTCACCTTGAATAGTGCTTGGTGTATGGTGCATGCTCAGTAAGGGAATGAATGAATAGAGCCCGAGAGGCTGAGGGTGGAGGTGCCAGGGCAATGCAAAGAAGCCAGTAGGGGAAAGACAGGGGTGCAGAGGAATGGTACTTACTTGATCTCAGCGATCTCCTTAGGGGCAGTGAAGATACTTCTTCCCTGAAGAAGCATGGGGAGCAGCTGCCTGAGGCGGGGAGGTGGGTAGTATGTCCCCAACGCCATACTTAACTCCAGGTCATAGCCCTTACCGCTGCAGAATCGAGGGAAGAAAACACAGAAAACCCCTCACCCTCCAAGACTCTGAAAATGCCCTTCTGGTGTGGATGTTCAAAGCCCTTCTGCAATCCTACTGCTGAAAGACGTCAGCAGCCTTGCTCCTAGGTGGGACCATTCTCATTTTTGGAAAGTGCAATACTTGGAAACCTTTAAAACTATTATATACATAATAAATATTCATTAGAGAAAAAAAATCAGATAACAGGTAATAAATAAATATCATTCTTATGATCCAGGGATAACCAATGTTAACTTCCAGACTTTTTTTTTTTCTTTGAGACAGAGTTTCGCTCTTGTTACCCAGGCTGGAGTGCAACGGCGCGATCTCGGCTCACCGCAACCTCTGCCTCCTGGGTTCAGGCAATTCTCCTGCCTCAGCCTCCCGAGTAGCTGGGATTACAGGCACACGCCACCATGCCCAGCTAATTTTTTGTATTTGTAGTAGAGACGGGGTTTCACCATGCTGACCAGGATGGTCTCGATCTGTTGACCTCATGATCCACCCGCCTCGGCCTCCCAAAGTGCTGGGATTATAGGCTTGCGCCACCGCGCCCGGCCAACTTCCAGACTTTTTTCCCTTTAAACTTTGGTTATAAATATATATTGTCAACAAAAAGAGCACAATGGTCTGTGAAGGTCCTATTATATAGTTTGCTTTTTTTTTTTTTGAGACAGTGTCTCCCTCTGTCGCCCAGACTGGAGTACAGTGGCGTGAACTCAGCTCACTGCAACCTCCGCCTCCTGGGTTCAAGCAGTTCTCCTGCCTCAGCCTCCTGAATAGAGTAGCTGGGACTACAAGTGTGTGCCACCACGCCTGGCTAATTTTTGTATTTTTAGTAGAGATGAGGTTGCACCATGTTGGCCAGGCTGGTCTCGAACTCTTGACCTGAAGTGGTCTGCCTGCCTCAGCCTCCCAAAGTGTCAGAATTACAGGTGTGAGCCACCGTGCCTGGCTAGTTTGCTTTTATAACTATTTTGTGAACATCTAGCAAAAACAAAAAGATGTCTACACATATCCTATGCCTCATCCATATGAAGTGTCCAGCACAGAGGAATCTACGGAGACAGGAAGTAGATGAGCAGTTTCTTAGGGCTGAACGAAGTGGCAGGGGATAAAAGCGTGATAGCTTTTTACCGTAACGAAATGCTCTAAAACTGATGGTGGTGATGGTCATACATATCTGTGAATATACTTAAAAAATTACTGAATTGTGTACTCTAAATGGGTGAATTGTATGGTATGTGAATTATCTCAATACAGCTGTTTCAAAAATCAGATGTCTACAATGATTTGCCTGATAATCCATCACACTGGGACAACGCCCACAATTTTCTTCACACTGTCCTCAGATCTGCAGTTCATCTGCAGCTTTCTTCCTTGACAGAAAAATTCTCTGAAACCCAGAAGAGTGAAGAGCCTGCGGGAAAAGGGGCTCCGGCTCCCAGCTCTGTGCTCCTTCCAAAGCCCTAGCCTATGCGGTTGGGATCCGAGCCCAGCCAGGGCTGAGCTGCAGGGAGGAGTTACCGGTCAGGTCTCTCTCCTTCCTCTATCCGGTTGGTCACCATGGGGTTTCCAGCGATCCGGGTCCGCTTGAAGGGAGTCACGGGCTTCAGCTGTGCAGCCAGGGGGCTGTGGGCGACGGCAGCCAAGAAGCGGGCAATGTAGAATGTGCCGGCTCCTTCTGAACCCGACTCCCCAGGTCCCAGCAGCTCCCAGAGCACTGTGGCTGGGAAGTAGCCCACAAAGCTGGTCTTACAATGGACATGGAGTTCATAGCATTCACCTGGAGGAGGATGGATGAGTGAATGGCGGTGGGAGTCCCACGTTTCCTTATCCTGGACACTCCCCCAGGCAGCCCCGTCCCAAGGCAAGAGTCCACCAGACAGCGCCAGTGCTTCCCAAAGCACCGGCACTGCGTGGGACAAGCCCCTCTCCACCAGCCATTTCCCCTGGAAACCCACTCACCGGGGCCCAGTGGACAGGGCAGCTCCTGGTCGTCATTGTAGAAAGCAAACTGGGGTGTCCGGCAGAGTGGGAAGAGGTGAGTGAGGGTGACAGACTGGGTTCCGCCATTCCGAAGCCTGAGGGTCAGCACCTCTTTGCGGTTCAAATCCAGGCGGATAAGGAGCTGCCCGTCTCGGGCTTCATGGGGCCCCTGGACTTCCACGTCCACCCCGTGTTTCCCGTGAAGATACTCAGACCTGGGGAGAAGGGAAGTCAAGGCGGAGCTGGGGTGGGCGCGGTCAGGACTGGGGCATTACCCTGGGGAAAGCTTTAGGCTTCGGAGGCCGGCAAAGTGCCAGCTGTGCTCAGCAAGCTCACCTCCTCCCCGCAGACCAATGCCCCGCCCTTCCCCCATTCCCTGGAGGAGGGGGACTTCCTCCCACTTGTGCAACCCACTCTTCCCTCAGACAGCCCCCTTCCCTCACACCCTGCAGGCCTCCGTCCACAGCACACACACACCTGTCATAAAAGATCTTGGCTAGCAGTGACTTGTGGTGCTTGCTGATATCTGACCCCAGCTTCATTCTCCTCTTTTCTGGGAACCGCACGTCGGCCCAGCGGTCGAGTCTGAAGAACCTGACCCGAGTCTTGGTGACGTAGGCCAGATTTGCAATCTTCATTCCATACAGCATGGAGGAGAAGCCAGGGGCGGGGGTCCCAAAGCTGCCAGAAGCAGAGGAGACTGGGAAGTGAGGCAAGGCAGGGCCCGCAGGAGGCAGGGCGGCGGGTGGGGAAGGGCACCGGAGGGTCACTCTGTGCTGGACACACCAGCCCTGCTGTGGAGCAGGATGGGGCCCAGAGACAGAGAGACACAGGCTGGGGATCGGAGGAACGTTTCATGTTTTAAGGGAAGGCAACGGGACTTCCCAAGGCAAAATACAGTTGTTTTAAACAGTGGCTTCTGGATTGTTCATTTCTGAGGGGAAAAGCCCAGTCACAGGCTGCTGACTGGAAGGACTGAGGGAAGAGAGAGAAGGACATAAAGTTCTTTTTGTGGGGAAAACTGTTTGGGACAGAAAAGAAAATACAAACAACCCAGAAGAAAGAGCTGAGGCTAAGGGGAAGCGGAATGAGTTGATTCAGAAGGGGGCATGTGGGGTCCAGCCTGTTGGTGAGGAGAGAAGGGATCAGAGACAGTACAGATGTCCAAGTGTGTGGGCAAGGTGGCTGATCAGACAGCAGTTTCCACCCGAAGTCATAGGGTGCAGGTGGAACCCAAGCAGGAAGGGAAAGGATCCTTCTCCAGAGATCAAATAGCCTGGCTTTGTGCCTAGAGAAGGTGAAGACAGGGAAAACTGGTCAGAAGGACAATAACCTCAAGGCTCAGAGCCTGGAGTTCAGTTCAGTCAATTCAACAAACACTTACAGAGGCCTGTTATGTGCCAGACACTGTGCTGGATGCTGGGGGTTCAAAGATGCAAGAGACTCAGCACTTGCCTTGAGGAGCACACAGACTGAACACATACATTCCAGCATGGTGCCCAGAGGGCAGCTCATCGGCCACAGAGGGGCTCAGTGCCACAAAGGGACACCGAGCCCAGTCTGGGGGCAGAGGAGGTGTCCATGAAGGCTTCCCCAGGAGGCAGCATACGAACTCGGTCCTGAGGATGAGTGGTGTTACCTGGGCACAAGAGAGAGCGCGAAGCGTGAGCAGATGTGAGGGGTACGCAAGAACATGTGCTGGTAGGGGCGGAGGGGGGCTGCCCACTTGACAACTCTAGCCAGGTCAGCTCAGGTGACCTCATCTCTCAGAGCCTCACTTTCCTCCCCTATAAAACTGGAGGAAAGCGAGACTTACCTCGTAGGGTTGCTGTGAGGTTCACACGAGATTTTGACACAGCAGAGAACCACTGAGCCCAGTGCTTGGCACATAGGAGACCTCGGTAAGGGTGAGCCATGATTAGTATCACATACAGTTTCATTGTGCTAGAGTGAAATGCACAAGGAGGGGAGCGGCAGGAGGAGCAGAGGTGGGCAGGGACCAGCTCATGGACAGTTTTGCACACCAGGCCAAGCCTGGACTTGACCCTGAATGCCTACAGTCCTTTCCCCTCTCTACTGAGACCCAGGAGCCTGAGGACATTCCCACGTGCAACATACTTCAGGGACACATTCAAAATCTAGACGACTGACACCTTCTCTTAAAAGCAAATCTTTGTTTATGAGAACTATGGTAATCCCTATTTAAGACTTAAGGCCACATCAGCATGGACACTCACTAGGGTATATGATAAGATCATTTATGGTTATGAAGATTTTTCAGGTGCCCCTGCCTGTAACTCTGCCCCTCTCCTTCACTCCAAACAAATGAGACCGGTACAATTTGGAAAACGTTGAATTGGCTATGATTTGTTTTAAAAAGGTAATAAATCATCCGAAAGCATAATAGAAAATGCTCAGTAAATGTTAGCTACTATTATTAGTATTTATATTAGTAGAAATAGTAGTACTAATAGTAGCAGTAGGAGTAGGAGTGACAACTTACTTTCAGCCCACGTCAGAGGCTACAGCGTGGTTACAGAACCACTGCGGTTGGTGGGTTTTAAGCAGGGGAGTGGCAAGATCATATTTGCATTTCAGATCACTCTGGCATCAGGATTGGAGGATGGATTTGCTGGAGGCAAGACTGTAGGCAGGGAGACCAGTTAGAAGAAGGCCCTTGCAATTTTCTAGTGAAAAGATAACAAAGGTGGGAGCAAGGCAGTGGTAGAGATAGAAGGAGAGCGGCAAGATTTGCTAATACTTAGGATGTAAAATTAGCAGAATTTGGTGACTGACAGAAGTGGGAATGAAGGCTGGGAAGAGGGAGGAGCCTAGGATCCCCAAATCAGTGGCCTGGCTTGTAGGACTATCTCTGAGATGGGATGTAAGACAAGAGGAGGAAAGGCTGGAGGGACTGACCATGACATCTGGATTTGGATATGCTAGGTTTGAGATTCCTGTGGTCCAGGCAACCAGCTCCACCAGTCAGAAGCTGAGAACTCAGACCAAAGTCAAGGTTATAGCCTAGTATTAGGGAGTCCTCAGGTAGTGGTTATAATCAAGGAAGTGTAGGAATCTCCCCAGGGAGTGTGAGTAGTTGAGAGCAGCTACTAGACAACCCAGGAAGGAAGGGAAAACAAGAAACCCTCAAGAAAGAAAGGAGAATCAGCAAAGTCTCAAAACCAGGTATCACGATCAAACACTGCTGAGGAGTCCAGTAATAAAGGGACTGAAACTAGCAGATTATCAGAAACTGTCACAAGGGCCCCTTAGAGTCCATCAAAGTCCCATGGATCAAAACACAAGCGAATGCCTACAGCAGCTAGGCTCCACAGGTGTCTTGACACTTGCAGCCCTCCCAGACACCAGTTCAGTCTCATTTTGGAGAGTCACTAGTGTAATACTGCATGCATATCCTTCGCAGCTCTAAGAAAACAAGAGTGCAGCCTCCAAGAAAAGTAGCTCCAGGCTCCCAGATCAATGGTGGGCAGAAAGAGGGCTTTGTGGGAACTGAACAAACTGGGAAGTGCATCCCCTGTCTGAGGGCGTAACTGCTCATCTCCAAACGGGGCCAGCAGGGACTGCAGGCCTAAGATGGCTAGATCTGACTTTCTTTCTTTCTTTTTTTTTTTCAAGAGACGGAATCTCGCTATGTTGCCCAGGCTGGAGTGCAGTGGCTATTCACAGGTGTGATCCCACTACTGATCAGCACAGGAGTTTTGACCTGCTCCGTTTCTGACCTGGGCTGGTTCACCCCTCCTTAGGCAACCTGGTGGTCCCCCACTCCCGGGAGGTCACCATATTGATGCCGAACTTAGTGTGGACACCCAACTGGTGTAGGGCAACAGCCCACAACTCCTGGATTCAAGAGATCCTCTGGCCTCAGCCTCCCGAGGAGCTGGGACTACAGGCACGTGCCACTGCCCGGCCAGATTTGACTTTCGAGAAAAGACAAAATCAAAATTTTAACATGAAACCTCCTATTTTTGGAAACCTGCCTGGCACGAGGGCAGGCAGAACTCATATCTACAGATTTTCCAAATTCTGTGGATGCTACCCCTAAATGTTTCTCAAATTATTCTCAATGTCTGTTACCACTATCCCAATTCACCTAACATTGGTTTAGGTGACAGTCATACAAAAAATTCTTTAAAAACATCACAAACTTACTATATTCTTGTCAAAAAAAAAGCCCCAATCCTTGCATTATACATGTAATCCCCTATATTTCTATTTTTTTGAGACAGAGTCTTGCTCTGTTGCCAGGCTGGAGTGCAGTGGCACGATTTTGGCTCACTGCAACCTCCACCTGGGTTCAAGCGATTTTCCTGCCTCAGCCTCCTGAGTAGCTGGGACTATAGGCGTGTGCCACCCCACCCAGCTAATTTTTGTATTTTTAGTAGAGATAGGGTTTCACCATGTTGGCCAGGATAGTCTCAATCTTTTGACCTCGTGATCTGCCCGCCTCAGCCTTCCAAAGTGCTAGGATTACGAGTGTAATCCCCTATATTTCTTTTTTTTTTTTTTTTGAGACGAAGTTTCGCTCTTGTCCCGCAGGCTGGAGTGCAATGGCGTAATCTCGGCTCACTGCAACTTCCGCCTCGTGAGTAGCTGGGATTACAGGCACGTGCCACCACACCTGGCAAATTTTTGTATTTTTAGTAGAGATGGGGTTTCACCATGTTGGCCAGGCTGGTCTCGAATTCCTGACCTCAGGTGATCTGCCCACCTCGGTCTCCCAAAGTGCTGGGATTACAGGCCTGAGTCACCACACTCAGCCAATCCCCTATATTTCTAAGAAAAACTTTCTAACCAAGACTGGAAACCTGCAGCTATAAAAGAAAATAAGGTTAGGTGTGGTGGCTCACGCTTGTAATCCCAACACTTTGGGAAGCTGAAGTGGGAGGATTGCTTGAACCCAGGAGTTTGAGACCAGCCTAGGCAATATAGTGGGAAAAAAAAAAAGTCAGGTGTGGTGGTACATGCCTGTAGACCCAGCTACTCAGGAGGCTGAGGCAGAAGGATCACTTGAGACCAGGAAGTCAAGGCTGCAGTGAGCTGTGATCACGCCACTGCACTCCAGCCTGGTTAACAGAACTTGGGTAACCCTGTCTCTAAAAAAGAAAAGGAACATTTTTGACTACTAAGAAATATTTTGTCTGGAAAGAGGTAATATAAACAAATTCAACAGATAAATATTCATAATGCAGATGATAGGCAAAGGGCTAATTTTTATAATATATAAATTTTCTTACAAATTGACAAGAAAAGATGAAACAGAAAAACTGAATATTCAGTTAAACCAACAGATCCAGATGGCCAAAAGAGTATGAAAAGCTGCTCCACGCCGGGCGCGGTGGCTCAAGCCTGTAATCCCAGCACTTTGGGAGGCCGAGGCGGGTGGATCACGAGGTCAAGAGATCGAGACCATTCTGGTCAACATGGTGAAACCCCGTCTCTACTAAAAATACAAAAATTAGCTGGGCATGGTGGCGCACGCCTGTAGTCCCAGCTACTCAGGAGGCTGAGGCAGGAGAATTGCTTGAACCCAGGAGATGGAGGTTGCGGTGAGCTGAGATCGCGCCATTGCACTCCAGCCTGGGTAACAAGAGCGAAACTCCGTCTCAAAAAAAAAAAAAAAAGAAAAACTGCTCCAAATGTAGACAAATGCAAATTAAAGTATAAATGAGATATCATTTTATTCCCATTAGACTGACAAAAATGAACGCAGTTCTAACAGATACTGATATCATGGGTATGTGGAAAAGTGAACTCATAACAATCTAACAATATCTACAAATATTTAAAATACAGGTATCCTTTAAAACCCAGGGACTTGGCATGGCGGCTCATGCCTCTAATCCTAGCACTATGGGAGGCTGAGGTGGAAGGATCACTTGAGCCCAGGAGTTTGCGATCAGCCTGAGAAACACAGCAGATCCCTGTCTCTACAAAAAATTTAAAAAAATTTTTTCCTGGGTTTAAGTGATTTTCCTGCCTCATCAGGAAAATCCGAGCACTTTGGGAGGCGGAGGGAGCGGATCACCTGAGGTTAGAAGTTTGAGACCTGCCTGACCAACAAGGTGAAACTCCCGCCTCTACTAAATACAAAAAATTAGGCGGGCAAGGTGGCGCATGCCTGTAGTCCCAGCTACTTGAGAGGCTGAGGCAGGAGAATCGCTTGAGCCCGGGAGGCAGAGGTTGCAGTGAGCCGAGATTGCACCACTGCACTCAGAAAAATTAAGATGACTTGTTAAATGAATAGAGGGATGAATCTATGGGCAGACGTGTAAAATGTTAAAAGAAATCTAAGTGAAGGTTTGTGGATGTTCGCTGTACAATCATTTCAATTTTTCTTTATGTTTAAAATGTATTATAGTATAGGCTAGCTGTGGGCGCAGTGTGGCAATGCTTCACGGGTGGTTGATGCAGGGGGGCAGCTTCGGGGCCTGCGAGCGTGAAGAGGGTGACGGGGTGGGGGCTATGGCTGCACCACCGGCTAATCGACACTCCTGCCAAGGGTCCGGAACCCAAATATGATGAATCTGATGTTCCAGCAGAACTCCAGGTGTTAAAAGAACCTCTACAACAGCCAACCTTCCCTTTTGCAGTTGCAAACCAACTCTTGCTTGTTTCTTTGCTGGAGCACTTGAGCCATGTGCATGAACCAAACTCACTTCGTTCAGGACAGGTGTTAAGTTACTTTGCCAGACCTCTGTCAAAATGGGGCTGCTGTCTTCTTTCACTTGTAGTAATAAGTTTAGCTCACTGAGACATCACAACAGAGCTATTACTCACTTAATGAGGTCCGTTAAGAAAGAGTCCCTCAGGATCCTTGTGAGGATATTTCTCATATCCAGATATCAGATCAAGGAAAGTAGCCTTTGAAGCACAAAGTTCACGTTACTTAAATTAATTTGAAGAACTTACCATCTTAGGAAAAGATGGATACAGAAAAATTATACAAGGTCAGGAATAACTTAGATGGTCAGTATTACGCAATTTAAAAAAACCCTGATTAAGGGTGCAAATGAAACAGATTGCATGAAGGTCCTACGGGAAGTGAAGGTGCTGGCAGGTCTTCAGCACCCTACTATCGCTGTCTATCACAGCGCGTGGATAGAGCACGTTCACATGATCCAGCCAGAGGCAGACAGGGCTGCCACTGAGTTGCCATCTCTGAAAGTGCTCTCCGACCAAGAAGAGGACAGAGACCGATATGAGGTTAAAAATGATGAAAGTAGCAGCTCATCCATTATCTTTGCTGAGCCCACACCAGAAAAAAACTCTTTGGAAAATCTGACACTGAAAATCAAGTAACAAGCTGGTGAACTACACCACCAATTTAATCGTAAGAGACACTGCTGAATTTGAGTCGATCCTGGAGCTTCAGGAAAATGGCTTGGCTGGTTTGTCTGCCAGTTTGATTGTGGAACAGGAGCTGCCGCTCAGGCATAATTCCCACCTAGAGGTGAGTTTCACAGCCACCAAGGAATCTTCCAAAGAACATATCAACTTTTTGGGTCAGACAGAGGTGCAGTACCACCTGATGCTGCATGTCCAGATGCAGCTGTGTGAGCTCTCGCTGTGGGACTGGATAGACGAGAGAAACAAGCGGGGCTGGGAGTGTGTGGACGAGTCTTC